TTTATTATTTTATTATTATTATTATTATTATTTAACCTTTGGTTTTATTTGGGGGGGGGCTGCTGGAGGGGGACTCGCATTACCGGACTGAAGTCACAGATCATACACACATATGGAGCACCAGTCCTACATTTTTAATTATGACATTTAGCACTTCTCCCTCACCACCACCACCCCCCTTCCCCCCTTCTTGATAGTTATTGGGAATAGACACGATCTGGGTGCGAAACGCGGGAACGTTTCTAATCCGCGGTGGGGGAGGGGGGCAGCTCTGAACCCTAGTTTACAACTCTTTACATTTTTATTTTATTTTGGGGTGGGTTTGTGCTCCTTTTACTTTCTTTCTTTTTTGTTGTTGTTGGTTTTTATTTTTTTTTTCTAAAAGGTCCTCTTTTTTTGTTGTTTTTATTTCATTCCGCTTGTAGGACCGGCATGATGGAGTGCCCAGCCACAGTTCCAGGCTGTCCCAGCTGGGATCCGTCTCCCAGGGACCCTACTCCAGCGCTCCTCCGCTCTCTCACACCCCATCCTCGGATTTCCAGCCGCCTTATTTCCCACCCCCCTACCAGCCTCTTCCTTACCACCAAAGCCAGGACCCTTACTCCCATGTCAATGACCCCTACTCCCTAAACCCCTTGCACCAACCCCAGCAGCACCCCTGGGGACAGAGGCAGAGGCAAGAGGTGGGATCAGAAACCGGGTCACTGCTGCCACAGCCTCGGGCCGCCCTGCCCCAGCTCTCGGGACTGGACCCCAGGCGGGACTACCACTCAGTAAGGAGGCCAGATGTCCTTCTGCACTCAGCTCACCATGGCCTTGACTCCGGCATGGGGGACAGCCTTTCCCTGCATGGCATCGGACACCCAGGGATGGAGGAGGTCCAGGTAAGGCACCGCGTTTCTTTCTCCTGGGCAATGCAGATGCCTTCCAGGCTTGAACCCCCATCCCTCGGCTAGAAATGATCAGGGAGGGTTTTACAGCAATACTGGTGTGGTTTACCCTCCTTTTTCCGCACTGGGATTATGACAGTGATATTCCCCCTCCCTCACCTTTTCTTTTTTTCTTTTTTTTTTTTTAAAAAGATAATTTATTTCATCGCTGTCACGCACAGGCTTTGCTTTGTAAACCCTCCCCTACATGGCAAGCCAGCAGAGTGCAGGGGGAAGGCAGACATACTGCTCTAAATATTCCACGTGTTTCAAAAGCTGCCAGAGTTTAAGCCTGGCTTTTCAAATTCCGGTTATTTCCCATGCAATCTCAGCTCCCCCCTTCCCCCCCCCCCCCCCCTTCTTTCCTGCAGTTCAGGGATTTTGATGAAACTGTCAAATTACTACATTTTTCATCCGGGAGGGAGGGAAAATATAAACAAAACCCAAACCAAAAGCAATAACCGGTGATCAGGAACAACCCCCCCTCCCCCTTTTTTTCTTTTTTTAAGAATAGTTGGTAGGGTAGCACTGATTTTAAATAGTTTTATTCCCTCTGTTGGGCAACAAAGGAGTTTCACCGGGCTCAAAGCACAGTATTTCCCAGCCTTCTCCCATCCCACGCGAAACTCATCATCACGTGTTATTTCCTAAAAAGAGTAAGGCCCTTAACAGCTTCGGTGCTGGGGTGGTTTGCACCTTGCTGGAGCAGGGCAAGGCCAACCGGTGGGGACCCCCGAGCCGGAGGCTGGAGCCTCCAGGGGCCAGGTCTTAAATTAGGCTTTACCATTCGGGATTTAGGGGTTCCCCTTCCATTCCTTTTTTTCCCCAAATTTATAGATCATATATATCATTTTATCATTTATATATATATATATATATATATATATATATATATATATATATATATATATATATATATATATATATATATATATATATATATATATATATATATATATATATATATATATATATATATATATATATATATATATATATATATATATATATATATATATATATATATATATATATATATATATATATATATATATATATATATATATATATATATATATATATATATATATATATATATATATATATATATATATATATATATATATATATATATATATATATATATATATATATATATATATATATATATATATATATATATATATATATATATATATATATATATATATATATATATATATATATATATATATATATATATATATATATATATATATATATATATATATATATATATATATATATATTTAGACTTGGGATAAATAAAGATATGGACCACTGGATGGGATACGGACTTCAAAGTTACAGAAAGGGATAAAGAAAGGAGAAAAGAGGAGGCTGAGAAGGAAAAAAAAAAACCAGCCGTGAAAAAGGATCCTGCTGCTGATCAGTGTCGGAAGCGGCGGCAGAGCAGCAGAGGGGCTGTGTTCCATCGGCTGGAGGCTTGTCCTAGGGCTTCAGGGGAAAATCTCCGAGCTTTGCTGGGGCGAGTTGCTTTAGAAATAGAAAGGGGTTTTTTTCCTGGTTGGATTCGCTCCTGCCTCCGAGCTCAGTGGCCGTCGGGTCGCTGGTTTCTGCGGGTTTCCAAGCTGGTTTTGAGACCTGGGGGCAGCCCCTGGCCCCCACGGGCGCGATGCGCAGGTCTCGTCTCGCATTCCTGGCTCAGAGAAACTGGCTTGCAGGTCAAGGCGAGTTTTACCTCTGTGAATGCAGAAAGGGGATCGCTCTCCTTCTTTCTCTCTACAACCGATAGACGTTAAGTACTGTTTGTGCTTTGATATTTACACTTTCCCCAAAGAAAAGCCGGTAATTGTTGTGCTCTTGTGAGAAAGAGAGGGAGGAGGGAAGGAAAGGGAAAGAGAGAGGAAAAAGAAAAATATAAAAGGGAGAAAGAGCGAAAGGAGAGAGAAGGAAAAAGAAGAAAAGATAGAGAGAGAAAGAGGAGAGGGAAAGGAGGAAAAAGGAGAAGAGAGAGAGAAAGAAGGAAAGAAGAAGGGGGGGAGAGAGAAAGCGAGAAAGCGAGGGAGAAAGAGAGAGAGAAAGAGAGAAAGAGAGAAAGAAAGAAAGAAAGAAGGAAAAGTCCTGCTCAGCTCAAATAAAGCAGCTCTCCCTCCTTTTTCCAATCAAACATCCCTTCTGCGGGCAGGGCACAGCGCTCGCGGAGAGTGCCTCCCCCCGACGGCTCCGAGAGCAGCGGTGCGCCCCGCGGCCACCCGCGCCCCGCTCGCCCGGG